GGATTCCTCACCCTCACTAAGCCCAAGTGAAAGCCCCAGACCACCCCATTCCATCATCCTGAAGCAGACTTAGGAAGAAGGTACAAAGGGGTCACCTTTAAACCAGTCTTCTTTCCAAACGATGGCATTCACCCACCTCATTGGTCCGATGACCACAGTGCTCACAGATGGTGGCCATGATGACAACCTCCTTAAAGTGGGGAATTTCTGGAAGATGGAGTTAAGGAAATCTGCTTCTAGGATGGCAAGACCCCCTCAGGAAAAACAGTACCAAAACCCACACAAACATGCTGGTCCCAGACTGCAGGAAATGTATCACAAGGCATCCTAAATCTGAGAATTCTCTAGAAGACAGCTCTCTTCCTTGCTTATAGTAGCCTCTCTTTACAAATGTTTGAAGTCACAGTTCAGGGCACACACGAGCCTCAAGATCACAGCCTAGGTTTTTCATTGAACTCAACAGCTGAGATACATGGTCTAATCAAAGACAATTTCCTCCTAATCACAGGGAATAAAGCGTTGGCTCCGTTGAAAGGATGCTCCCAGCCTATATATAATCTCCATGCCTGAGTCAGAAGCAAGCAACTCAACTGCTTGACAAAAGATACGCACTAGCTTCATGTTGGTCTGAGCTGGGGCGTTGCATTCCGGGCAGTTTGTGTTGAACTGCAGCACCTGCGATATAATATGGGAACACACTATGAGCCCTCTCTGGCAGGACACTTAGGTTACAGGCATTCAGTTGGCATGCTGGTGGTCACCCATGCAGGTGATGACAAAGAGACACTGGCAAGCACCAGTCTCAGCCCACAACTCTGCTTCTTCCTCAACAGCAGCCAAGATGACTCACTTCATTTCTGAGATCTTCTTCTTCCAGTTTTTCTTCTGGTCCTTCGGCCTAAAAGAGCAGAAATGCAAATCACAAGCTGGCAGGTGAACCTCAGCACCCCCAACACCCTGTCCTAGAGTGGGAAAAACATCTTTGCTTAATTCTACAAGGTGTCATCTCATCGGCTACACAGAAAACCGAAAGCAATGCCCCAATCAAGCAAATAAGGCTCAAGACAGGATCAGAGCCACTGCCATCCTTTCGATGACCTTCACCCTATGTCCTGAAATGAGCTAGAAGGCAGATACAAACAGGCTGAGTGTTTGCACATAAATAGGGCAGGAACAGCAACTGAACAATGTTCCACTGGCTCCAAGTAACCCAGAGTGCAAGGTAGTTCTGAGCCACTCTTCCGGCTCTTTAGTCCACTTACTTGGAGCCCCAGCATCTCGTCCTGCTGTAGGGTCCGGCTGTAGTGTGTGATCACCAGGGAATCATCTTTCTGGGGAGCATGTGGATTTTCTACAAAGCTATTCCCCGAGGGGTCATCGATGATCTACACATGAGTGAACACATATTCACTGCAATAAGAACTCATGCACAAACATCTACCATCAGAACAGAGCACAAAAATCCCAGCAAGTCTCAGTTATCTCTGCCCACTTAAACCAAAAGCAACTACAGTCCCTCATTACTCACCAGAGTGAAAGGGGAGGCCACTTGCTTTAGCTCCTTCAGTTTGACAATGAACTCATCAATTCTTTCAGCTATGGCTTCTTCACTCGCCTGCCATAAACAGAATAAAAGTCTCCACCCTGGTTGTGTACATCATGCCCAAGCCCATCATGCCCATGTCAATTCCATCAGAAGGTCCCATGTCAATTCCATCAGAAGGCCAACACCTGTCTCAATGAGTGGAAACCAAGTACCTCAGGCTTCACAGACACAATAAACAAATCTGAAGAAGATGCCAGGAGAGCCTCATTTTCTCTTATTCTACCAGTTAAGCCCTGCACTCATGCCAAGTTAGGGGCATAAGCGTAAATAAAGCATAGCTTTTTAAGGGTGCTCCCTAGCCAGTTTGGAAAACAGATGACTAAACATGCAATGATATTATTTCTGTAATAATAAGTATCAAGACACAAATAGTGGAATATCCAGGAAGCACAGATTAGCCAAAGGGAATCAGGAAGAACTCTCTGGAGTTAATGTTACACTGACTGAGATGAGCCTGGATATACTCTTAGGGAAGGGAGAGTAAGTATATTTCTAACACCCTGGCAGCTATAAGACCACCATATTCTTTGCAGAAAAAAAAAAAATGCCCGACAGTCATTCAGACAGGAAAAGCTGAACACTCATTCAGGCACATAAGCTGTTGTAACGAAAAAGCCCAAGCCCAGCTCACCCTTCGTGTAGGCTGGTCCTGTTCCAGGCCAGAGATGGCGCGGGTTATCAAGCCTTCAACAGTAGTCAGAGCTTGTGAACAAGAACAAAAGACAAATGAGTCTTAGCTCTGCTATCCAGTGGCTGTATGACCCTGGGCAATTTACCTCAACTCTGGGCCCTGATTTTTTCATTTGTAATAGGAGGCCAGGCACTAGATTTAACTAAACTTTGATAACAGTGATGCTAAAATTCTAAATTATCTCAAGCTCTCTGCTCATGTTAAACCAATGAAAAGCTCTATGAGTATAGGGTCAAACCCATATGCGAGCCACTAGACCTGACACCAGGAGTTTTGCAAGAAAATGGGTAAGATTCCAGCTCTATGTGAATGGCTCAAATAATCTGACCTTAAACTTACCTCCCTTCTGGGTGAAAGCTGGAATTTCAAAGTCCAGCTCAGGGATCCTTGTAGTGGCAGAATCAGTCTTCACCACTTCTCTGTTCATGTCCTGAGCACAAAGGAAAACTGGTCCAAAGAGCTTCTCCTCAGGAACCAACCAGACATCTCCTCCTACCCATTACAACTCCATTCTGCCATTTCTCCCTCTCCCTTCTGGCGCATTTAGACGACTCTTTCAAAATAATACAGTTTGTATACTTTCCAAATGAATAGAGTATCCAAAGTAACTCCGGATCATTCCACAACCTCTGACAAAATTCACAAAGCACTTTAGCAAATCGTATCTCACTTGAGCAAATGACTCTTTGGAAACCCCATTTTACAAAGAAGGAAACTAGGGCTTAGCCATGGGTTCCGGCAGTCTGGACCAGAGAGGGATCTCAGGGGCACAGGAGCATCTGCTCTGGGCTCCTCTTACCTCCAGGCCCCTGACGGTCAGAGTGTAGCGCACTCCCTGGTCCTGGATCCTGCCTGCCGATTGGATCTCCGTGTTATTCCAGCCACAATGCTCGCAGGAAAAGGAGCTCACGATTATTTCCCTGAAGAAGGGGATCTTGGTGAGCAGGAGGCGCGTCGTGCCCTGGGGAAGCAAAAAAAAAAACCAGAGAAACAAAAACTATCAATGAAACTCTCGTTCCCTGTCCTAGTCCAAGAAGACCTGGGTGACCGACCCCAGCACCTTACCGCCTAAACCCTCCCTCCCGGCCGCCCCGGCCGCGACCCAGCCTTACATTGCGGTAACAGTTCATGCATAGTGACTCGATCTCGGTGGGCTGCTGTTCCTCGTCCTCGGCGCTGATGGGTCGGAACAAGTGCCCTGTGGCTGGCGGCTGAGCCGGGGCGGGTGGAGGAGCGGCTGCAGCCCCCAGAGGCCCGGCCTCTACCGCCCCACTGGCCGACATCGCCCCACGGGTAGCTCAGACCTCGGCTTCCGGCTGGCGCTGCTCTCGAGGTCCCGCCCCTTCCGCTGCTCTCGAGGTCCCGCCCCTTCCGCTGCTCTCGAGGTCCCGCCCCTTCCGCTGCTCTCGAGGTCCCGCCCCTTCCGCTGCTCTCGAGGTCCCGCCCCTTCCGCTGCTCTCGCGACCCTACTTCCGGCAGCTGCTGCCCCGCCCCTTCTTTAAAGGACTGTCGCCTCTGGACCTTCTCCAGACAGTATGTGGCAGGGGTGGTGCGACCTGGACATGCGTAGCCAGCCCAGCTTAGCCGTCACATCCCAGAGGACATGCTCTCAGATCCTGAGTTTTTTTGCACCTTTGCAATTGCTCCTCCGCACAGGAAACCTGACTTCGGTCCATAAATCTGTCTTTGACGGAAGGGGACTGAGGTGTCTGGGAATCCCAAGGAGGTGCTTCTGAACTAGGCTTGCTTTGGCCCACTGCTGTGCCAGGCGCTGTCGGGCTAGGTGGCCCTGTCCAGGTGGCTCAGCCCCTCTCTCTCCCGCCGCAGTCCCACAATCCATCTCTCCCTTTCAGTTTCCTGTTTCGTCCTCATAATCAACTCCCCAAATTCTACGTCAGATGCACAAGCCATATTTTTTACTCTCACTCTTCATTCCCATCACATCTGACCTCGGCTGATTCACCTTCCCCAGTTTCTAACAACAAGAACTCTGCTTCGATAAACTTTTCTTTCTCGTTCGTCCCCCACCTCCCAGCCACGATTCAATCCTGTCACTGAAAGGGGATAAATTCAGAGTGTCAGGAATGACCTGTCTTCAGGCATGAGAAGTCCAGATCCACTTGGAGTCTGTGCTACAGAAGGCCCAGAGGAGCCCGTGTAGCCCAGACGGAGCCCTCTGAGCTGGGGGACAGGACTGTCCAGAGGGAAAGGCGTGTGCTTACTTGTTCCTTTTCCTCCTACCCAGCACCAATTTCTGTTTCTAGGTGATTTTTTATGCCCCTCAGTGTGTGCAGGGTGATTTTGGGTCCCAAGAAAAGGCTAATCAAGAGTCTGAAATAGCAAGAACAAATGGAACAGGCCACTGCAGGAGTCTCAGGTCTGCCAGGCCACAGCTCCTCCAGAGAAGTGTGTGTCCTGTGCACACCATCTTGTACCCAAGCTGTGGGTACAAGATGGTGTGTATAGGACACACACTGTGGGTAAATAATATGGATGCAGATAAGGTTCACCCACACACACACACCTCGTGTGACAGACAGCTGTTGTGTAGCCAGGAGCCCTGAAGCAGAGTCCAGCCAGAGTCAGGTCTTTGTGACCAAGTAGCTGAGGGAGAGCAGCAGGGGACTGCAGTGGGTGGCGGGTGTGCTTTAGGGACAGTGGCCTTGTTCTCAGACAAATAAGAATCACACCAGGCAGAGAAGCTTCCATCATAAGCATCTATTTCATTTGGACGGAAGTCTAGACTTCAGCCTGGGAATCAGGAAGGAGAGGCTGGGGTGGGGAGGGCACCTTATGCTCCCCAAACAAGGACCTCCCACAGCTTGGAGGGCTTGGTTTCTTACTTAGGTGCATGGCTATATAAGGAAATATGGATCCTGCCCCGCCCAGCACTGTCCCCACCCTTCACACCCAGCATCAAGCCAGCAGGGATAGACACCTATCATCACATGTTCTCTCCATGTGTTTTCTTCCTTGATCTCTTCTGTTGGGCCAACAGAAGCTGTCATGGTGGCCCCAGAGAAACAAGAGCTTCTCCATATGGACCAGCTGTAGCAGTGACCATCAGGCATCCAGAAGCGACAGGAATCACACTTTGGGATAAAGTGGCACAGGCTTCCGGGACCATCCCACACAGATTTGCAGACATGGTCTTTCTCCCTCTCTATTTCTCCCACCCCTGAATATCCTGAGAGTGACCAAATGAGCACGGGAAGCTCGGTTTGCAAAGCCTGGTGAGTGGAAGGCATCCGGATGGGGGAGTTGAGGATGGTTATTCAGGCACAGCAGTCCCCTGGGTCTCACCTATCCTCTGCAGAACCCTCCACCCTAGCCCAGCTGGGTCTTGGGCCCCTCAGACCGGAAGCTAGGGAGTGAACCGGGACAAGTCAGCCCTCAGGCTTCTCCCAGATCGCTATGGCTCTGGTCCTGAAGGCTGTAGTTGATGTCTTCCCACAAGTCATTCAGACGCGCCTGTAGCTTGCTCAGGGCTTTGCCACGGTCCTCTAGAGAGAACTCAGGTGCGAAGGCGCTATGGCCTGGTGGGGGTGGCGCCAGCTGCTGCTGGATCTCCGCTGTCTCATGGTCGATGGCGCGTGTGAAGGCAGCGATTTGCACAAAGGTATCCTGGCGGAAAGCCTGGAGTCGCTGGCGAACCTCCTCAGAAAGCAACTGAGAGTCTAGGCTGCCCCCCTCCTCAGCCCCGTCTGCGCTGGTGTGGACAAAGGCACTGAGCCCTTTGCCTAGCTGGTCCAGATTCTGCTGGATGCCCGCGTGCAAAGCCGTGGCCTTGAGTGTGAGCTTCTGCGAGAGTGCTTGCACGCAGCGGCTGAGCCGGGCCGGGCTGGCAGCGGCATGAGGGGCCACACGGCGGTGCAGCTCCTGCACATGGTGTCCGATGCCGCTCACCAGGCGCTCGGCATAGGGGTGGAAAAAGTCTTTGACTCGGCCAGTGTGGTGCAGCACGCGACTGGGCATGTCTTGCAGCAGGCCCAGCGCCTCATCCATGCCACCCAGCACCTGGGCCTTTGTTCCTTCCCCAACCACACGCAACTGCTCCTGCAGTTCCTGGACGCGCGAGGCCACCTGCTCCATTAGCTCCACCGTGTAGGGCCTCAGCTGCTGCCGCAGCTCCTCCAAGTTCCAGCCCACCAGCCTGTGTACCTCCGCCATATAGGGCTGCAGGCGAGCCCGCACCTGCTCTAGCTCCTCCTGCAGCTGCTGCCGCATGTCCTCCTGGGTCAGAGGAGGAGGCTGTTTCCCCTGCCCACTCAGGGGGCCCAGCTTCTCCAGGAATTTGTTCATATCGCTGAGGTCCTGCTCTAGGCTGTCTTTCAGCCTCCTGGGGAAGAGGACAGACCATCAAACCGCTAACCCCATCATCTCTTTTTCCCTGGGGATCTCAGGCACTGATCTAGGGAAACTTAGCATATGGGGTTGGGCGGTGGCTCCCAGACCCAGCCTCTCTAGTCCTCACCCCACAGACAACAGCAAGTCCACATGGAGAAGCACAGACATTACAGGTGCACTACAGAGCTGGGGAGAATTGGAGCAGCTCCAGCCGGCAAGACAGCAGCCATAGGAAGAGCAGGTGGAGGGGCAGAAGCAGGGCTTGGGGCCCAGCTGTCTCCTCGCCCTCACCCCCCTCCTTGCCCTGGCTACTCACCCGTGGTCCTGGGCCTGCTTCTGCTGCTGGATCGGCCCCACCACACTCTTCTCCCTGCTGCTCTGGCTGAAGTAATCCCAGAAGCCTTTCTGTGCCTGGGTGGCTGAGCATGCTGTGGAGAGGGTGGGCTGCTCAGAGACCCTCAGGGCAATCGCCACCCACGTGCCCACATGCCCGTGTGGAAGTCAGGTTGTGGACTCACCTGAGAGCAGGGCCAGAGCCCAGGTGAGGACTGCAGCCATGTTTGCAGTATGGACTCTGAGAAGGAAGCTGAACGGAGGCCAAGTCAGAATGAAGAAGCAGAGGCAGGAATATATCTCAGTGTTACAATGCCTGTTGGTGAGCACAAGGTCCTGAGTTCGATTCCCAGTACCCCCCCCAAAAAAAAATGAAGAAGCAAATAAAAGAAGAAAAAACTTTTTGTAGGGGCCATTTGCCCCCAAATCCTGTTAACCCCTCCCTGAGGTGTAGGGAGCAGAAGATTATTGTTGCTCAGAGACTGACCTCGGTGGATCAACCTAGGTTGGAAAGGAAGAAGTGTCTTCCTCAAACATGGGGGCGGGAGCCTCTCCTTTCTCATCTCTGTCACAAAGCCGGGAGGATGGAGCTCCAACTGTCTTCCAATGCTCCCCCACCACTCTGCTCCCCAGAACCTAGAACCCAGATACCAGGATCAGCTCTCTTGGTACCTCACCTGTGTTCCTGCCTCCCATTTCATAGCCAGGAAAACTGAGGCCCATGGCAGGGAGCAATTCTGCCAAAGTCCTGAAGAGGATGCCTTAGTTCCCACCCCCAGCTTCCCGGAGGCCCCCTGCAGTCCCCTCCTTTAGGACTCCTGTCCCCACCCTCAGCGCTGGTGCTTACCTGCTCAGTTCTGGGTGCAAAGAGCAGATATTCGGCTTTATACTCCCGGGTACCAGCCTCTGGCAAGAGTTACTTTAAGCAAATACCTCCTATTTGCCACGTGGAGGTATTTGCCACGTGAAGGTTCAAAGAAGGATGACCTCAGTGGCCTCCCAAAACTTATCTCCTGCCCTTTTCTTGGCATCCTGAGGAGTAAGCAGTTCCCTGGTATCAAGCCCCTGTAGAGAAATGTTTCCTGGACTCTTTCCTAGGAATGGGGCTAACCTCACCCAGTTCCCCACAAACCCATGACCCCCAACCTCCTACTGACTTGCTATCCAGCCCACCAAGAGACACGAGGCTGTTTGTCTGCCAGGAGGCCCACTCTTACTCAACTCCCCAGAGCACTCTGTCCCAGCCAGCCAGAGGACAGCGCTCAGCTACCAGCCAGGCCCAAGGACTGCCTGACAGCTCCTGCACAGCTTCTAGGCAGAGCCAGCAGTTCTGGGGTTAAAGACTGTCCCATCTCCTGATTTAGGAAATCATTTTGGGTCTTGCAAAACAAGCCAAGCAGGGTAAAGATGTAAGCAATACATGGGCCCGGGACTGTGGGCCCAAGGGACTGAAGCAGAAGAGCTTCTCCCAGAGAAAAGACTGGGCTCTGAGGTGGGAGGCCCAAAGGCCCAGCCCCTTCCGTGATGACAGGCTGCATCCCCACACTTACAAAGCAGATTCCGAAGCTCCCCCTTCTCACTCCAGAGGTACCTTGAAGGATCCCTTCCCCTCCACTGCCACCACCACCACAGCCCAAGCTGCCCCTCTTGCTTGCTTAAACTCACTCATAATCCCCAAACGAGCTTCTCCCAGTCCTGCCATTCGTCCATCCTCTGCTGTTGCTCATCCCAACTCACTTCCAGTCTCCTCCCACTGGACAAAACCGTGGCGTTCCTCAAGTACACCACCTGTGCTCCGGCACACGGCGTTCCACCTGGTTGGAGTAGCCAACCTCATGATGGGATGCATTCATTTCTGCCAGACTTCATTTGTATTAGGGTTAGTTTCAGCTGTAAATGACAAAAAGGAGGTGGGATAACTTAAATAGACTGGAATCTCTGTCTCTCCCTCTGTCTCTCCCTCTGTCTCTCTCTCTCTGTCCCTCTCTGTCTAATGTGAGCTGGTGAAAGCTGCTTGTGTCTTACTGTACTATCTTTCTCAGCAAATGCTCATGTCCAAGTTCAAGCTGTTCCCCCTCTACCCATCATGGTCACGTCTCAGCCAGCAAGAAGGAGAACTAGGAGAAGGACATATTCCCTCCCACTGAACACATATCCCACATATGGCACTTACCACTTCTACTTACATTCCATTGGCTACAACTCAGTCACGTGGCTGCCTTTAGCCATACAGCGTCTGGGAAATGTAGTCTTTATTCTGTCCAGCTGTGTGCTCAGCTGAAAAGGACCTCTATCATTCAGGAAGAAGAAAGGAATGAATGCAGGGAGACAATAGTAGTCCTTGCTGCTCAGCTCCAAGATCATTGCTTGTTTTTGCAGTACTAGGGTGGTGGGCTTGGCACTGAGCTATATCCCCAGCCTCCTCCAATTTTTTTGAGCAAGGGTTTCAATAAATTGGTAAATTGTGCAGTGTAGGCTCAAACTTGTGCTCCTCCTGCCACCACCTGTAGTCTCAGAGTCCTGTGATTACAGGTATGTAGCACCTTGCCCAGATTCCAAGATCATTCTGAATACCTGTTTGGTCTGGAGCCTTCCCTGCTCTGGTGACAGATCGGTTCTGCATTAATCACATAACACTTAGTATATTACCGTATTGCTGCACTTAATCTCCCAGTAAAATAATTTGTTGACATGTTTGAGAGTTTTTTTGAGAGCAGAGAATTTGTCAAATTTATCTTTATATTCTCCACTTGGACACAAAGCTTACTATGCAGAAAGTTAAGAATTCAAATTCACTCATTCAATTGCTTAAGTAATCGAGGTTTGAGCAGATTAAGCGACTTGTCCATCATCACACAGGGCAGTTACCGCCAGAAGTGGACTCACGTATTCGGCTCTGGAAGCTCTGGGCAGCAGAAGATGAGGCTAGAGGGGAAGCAGACCATGTCCAGGTCATCAAGGACCTTGTGTGAACAGTCACTCAAAGGTACATGGTGCAAAGGCCCCCTGGGAGAGGCCAGAGAGACTGGACCAGGCGTCTCAGTGATTCCTCAGCGAGAGGCGATGAAGACCCGAAGTAAGTCATGCTGTAAGGCGGGAGAGGAAAATGTTTACTTGAAGGATACAAAAGTAGTAGAATCATAGCATTTGGTGACTGGTTGGATGGAGATAAAGTCAAGGAAGGATTCCCACCATTCCTAACTTTACAGGCAAGTAAGTGGATGATTTTTTCCCTTATCAACAGTGGGCGCTAAGGGCAAAGTGAACAATTTGGGACAGGAAGTGAGAGTTTGGGTGACTAGGAGTCCTGGCTGGAACCAAGGTGGGTTTTTGCAAGCACAGGACCACTTTTGCTAAGTGGCCTCCTGAGAGAAAAGGCATTGGAAAAGAAGGAAGCAGCAGGAGTCCCAAAACTTTAGTCATTGAAAGAAAAGGCAGGCTCAGTTTGGAGAAGAATGTATTTTCAGAGAATGGAAGACATTAGGAGAAAGACGCACTGGACTTTAGATTTGGTTATTATTTTACCCATCGGCTGGTGTGGCCTTGTGCCGGAGATGTTATGGCAGTTGGACACAGATATCAAGAGCTGAGGAGAAAAATCTAGGCTGGACAATGAGTTTGGGGTCACCTAGCAACAGTGGAGATCACCCAGGGGCGGTCCATGCAAAAAAGGAAAGAACCCAGGTCAGAAAACACTGCATTTATGGGAAACCTGAAGAGAAAAGATCTTTAGAGGAAAACCTTAACAGGAAAAAACTACTGGTCTCCAAAAGTCCAAGTATTTTCCTGCATTTCCCAACCTCTTTTACGATTATGTTGGAGCCATAGAACTCGTTCTGGCCAGTGGGCTGTGAGCAAGAATAAGCAGGTCATTCCTGGTGCAGAGCAACAGACACTAGATTTGAGCCAGGTACAGTAGTGTGCACCTCTAGTCTCAGCCCTTGCAAGCCTGAGTAGGAGGAGCACTTGGGCCCAGGGGTTCAAGACCAGTCTGGGCAACATAGCAAGACACTATCTCAAGAAAACAAAATAACAAAAGGGTATGTGTGAGCTCTCCATGCTTTTCATCCCCAAAAGCAGAAGCAAAGCCCTGTGCCAAAGATGGCAGTGTCTCAAGATGACAAGGTGGAACATCTGAGTCAGTGCTTGGAGAGGACTCTCTCACTAACCTGCATTAGATTTCGCATGAGTAAGAAATGAATCTCCATTGCCACTAAGATTTGGAGATTTGTTTGCTATGGCTTTTAACTGGAATGTCCCCCAAAACTCTTCTGTGCTCAATGGTGGGGCTTTGGAAGGTGATTGGACCATGGGCACCAATGGATTTGCCCATTGATGAGTTTATAGTTAAATTGAGGCCTGGTGAGAACAGAGGAGTCACTAGGGGTGTGATCTGTGAGGGTGTGTGTCTCCCTGCAGCTCTGCCCTTCTCTCTCTACTTCCTGGCTGCCGTAAAGTGAGCAGGCTTCCCGGCCAGCCTCTTCTGCCACGCTGTTCCCGTCTTGGAACCAGCTGACCGTGTGTGGACTGAGACCTGAAAGTGTGATCCAAAACACACCTCCCCTCCTTCAAAATGCAGGTGGGACACACTGTGTCTTGGCGACAGGCAAGTGACTCAGACACACTGTGTAGCTGAACTTATCTTTACCAATATTAAGGGAGCCTAAAAGGAGGCAGGCAGAAAACTGGAAATACAATCAGAAGACAGAAGGCTCACAGAAGGCAAGAACAGTCATTAAGGTATAAATTTGGCTCTGAGAGAGTTCCAGAACAACAGTGGATTAGAAACTACACGTTAGAAAGTTATTTCTCGCTCACTTAAAAGTCCCACTTAAAGCGAGAGGGACAGCACAGTCCTATGAAGGTTCCAGGCTCCAAATTCCTTCTGCGTGAAGTTCCTCTGCCCCTGTGTGCGCTCCTGGGCACATGGCCCCGTGCAGCTCACTGCTGTGTCCACATCCAGCCACTGGGCGGGCGGTGTACTGTCCTTTAAGTGAAAAATTTTAGCTTCGCTCATCCAGTTAGTCAGCTATCACACTAGCTGTAAGGGAGTCTGGGAAAGGTGAACTTGATTTTGAATAGCCATTACGGTGCTCCATTAAAAATCAAGAACTCTACCTTGCTGGTGGAAATGTAAAGTGTTTGAAAAAGGAGTCATCTAATGGTTAAATGTGGAGTTAGTCTATGACCCAGCAATTCCACTCCTGGGTATAAAGCCTAAAGAAACAAAAACACATGAAAACTGAGATCCTAAATAAACCTTTCTTCTTCTTCTAGGCTGTTTTTCTCAGGTATTTAGTCACAGTGATAAAGAGCTGACTAACACACGTATACATCACATTTCCTTCACTGTTTCATCTGTTGATGGACCTGTAGGTTGTTTCCATCTTTAAGTTACTTTTATTTTCTTTTGAGCTTAAGAGTAGGAGAATTTATTGGATAATAGGAATAGGGATGGGGAATAGGAATAGGAGAAACAGGAGGGGTCCCAAACAGGTACCAATGAGTCCACTACTCAAAGAAAGTTTCATAGAGCAAAATTATGAGGTAGGTACAAAGTGGGTCAAAATTATGACTGACCAATAAAATTGCAAGTATAGTTGCTAAGTAACATTGATCCAATGGTAGCAAGAATATATGAGTGACATTATTTAACATGGTCGATTTTCTATATAGTCTTGGCCTTGTCTTTAATCTTCAATCAAAGCCCATTAGGGGTTGCTCTAATATTGCATTTCAAAGATAACAAACCACAGCAGTCAAATAAGTCAAACAAGTAAAACCAGGAACACTAGTAAATTCAGCAACTAAGTCCAAAATACAGTATACACAGAACAAGAACAAAATGCCCCAAAGAAACAACAGAGTCTTCTCATGTTCTCAACTTAAATTTATCACAATTTTAACAAAAAACAATACATAAAAGAGACAAGGCCTAAGCAACTGGCAAAGACAAGGCATAAAATTCAAGGATGACAATGTTGATTATCTAAGCAAGTCACGATCCAGAATGTAGTCAAAATACATTAGAGGTGCCATAAAACAAAAGCAAGCTCTTACTTCCTTTCAAATATCTCGGTGGAACCCCGAGATGATCCTAAGGGAAGTGCTAGATGTCAAATACACCAAGTTTGTGTTCCCCGAAGTTGAAGAATGAATTCCAAGGTCCTGGCTTGGATTCTCACTATCAAAAAACAAAACAAACAATATAGATAGATAGATAGATAGATAGATAGATAGATAGATAGATAGATGGGTTATGTAATGCTGCTATGAACGTGGGTATATAAATATCTACTGCATTTCCTGGTTTCTAGTCATTTTATGTACACCAAGAAGCAGAATTGCTGGACTATATGGTAGTTCCATTTTTTCTTTTTCTTTTCTTTTTTTTAGTTTTTCAAGCAACCACACTACTGCTCACCAGAGGCAGCACCATCTTACGTTCTCACCAGACACCTTCCTTAGGATGCACAGGATGAACTCGGAAGTCCTTTCCTCGGGATTTTCTTCCCTCTGTGGGCCCAGGTTAGAGTCAGCCCTTATGAGATGAAGGAGAGAGGCCGTTGTTTTCCCTGCAGAGCTGACGGAAGCTTGGGTAAAC